CCCACAATCGCCTTGATTTCAGTGTTCTAGTTATACACTGACGAGAGCAAAATCATCGCGTCGACAGGGCCACGTTCATACCTCGCGAATTGGGCGGATACCGAGTCGCGCGACTGTGGCCGATCGCGCTCTGCCGTGAAGCAATGGACTATTGAAATGGTTAGAAGAAATTCACACGTGCATGCAGTTGACAGAGAGGTTGCATCGGCCCAATGAATAGTAGAAGAGCGTAGTTGGTCATAGTTGCGCGTTTTGGGGGCTGCTCTAAAGCTGCGTTCATACTTCGGATGACGCGCGTCTACGCGCTGCCGCTGCACCTGCGCTTCATTGCTATAGACGGCTTGAAACGATAGGCGGGTATCGATCGGCGCCAGTCGCTGCTGTTTTTGGGAGAGTATAGAAGAATAGGAAAGTGTCAGACATTGTGATCAGGCAACGCCTACTCTCCTATTCTCCCGTACTCTCTCAGAGCAGTAGCTGCCGCCGATCGATACCCTGCTATGGCTGCGTTCCCACCAATAGCATTAGAGCGCTGTTGCAGTGGTAGCGCGTAGTAATGGGTCATCGCGAAGTATAAACACGGTCAGAGGTAGTTCTCGCAATAACTTGTCAGTCGTTGCAATATCTCTAAAGTTCTCTTCGCGCCAGTACCACTTAGTCACCGCGACGCGACAGCGCGCGCGTCTTCACTTGCGGATTGAAAGCTGACATCAAAGTTGTGATTTCAGTTTACAGAACCCTACTTGTTCGCTTTCTTGTTGCGTTAGTATTCGTTTTTTGTATGTTTATTCTGCTTGTTGTTCTTAGTACTCGTAGGTGTTTTATTATCGCCTGTGAATTTTCTACAAGTCAAAGTAATTTTTAACCTCACTTTGCTTTACATTCAGGGATAACCTTAAAAGAATATTTCCTGAGGAATTCTCTACAAGAGAAACGCGCCAAGCTTTTTTCCTGTTCTAGTGACTGTACACTCATCATTGTTCTATCAAGCAGTTTCCATTCAAGGTCGCGTTCATACTTCGTCGCTCAAGCGGTTCAATCGCGTGATTTGGAGATTGTACGGTTGCCTACGATCGCTCCACCGCCAATCGTTGCAGCTGCAGATTGAATCGCTTTCGGGATAGGGTGACCCTGCGCGGTGTCAATGGTCCAACGATTAGCGATGGAGCGCAGTAGGTTCCAATCGTGCGATTTTCATATCGCTTATCTGAACCGTTCGAATGGGGGTGTAAATACAAAGTAAGTGGAACGCTTGGCGCATCCAAGCCCAAATTGTCTGTTCAAAACAACCAGCTCATATATGGGTTAAAGTTTTAAAAATAATGCCCTTGGTTTACTGGCCTAGTTTCGCTGCCAACCGCATGTGCACGAGTATCTCTAACGAATGAGTATGATATCCAGGAATTCTTCTAATGGGGAGGAGAAGCTACGAAGGTAGGGAGGGGGGGGGGCGCCCACTTGTTAAAACTTGTTCGCTACAGCCCTTCAGAGGGGGTGGGAGAAGGGTTGGAGCGGCGCCAGCCAGTCTGTCAACGGTGGAAGCTAGCGAGCCATCACAGCTAGTGGAGAACAGGCTGGTGCCAACTCGGCTCCTGAACCGTAGCGAAGAAAGAGTGTATCATCCACGGGTCAAATCTGTCTTATATGCCAAAACTCCCAGGGTCCGAAGTTCTTTTCGTCCCCTCTCAGCTGTGGCTCCTGCTTATGACCAGCACGGGTGTCGTAGACCATCACAGCCCTCTGTGCTTTACCCCCTCCCCTCCCCTTCGAAGTTTCTGGATAACAGCTCATTTCTCAAGTGATATTAGTCGATAGTGTTGTTTTGATGTCCGTTAAGTTGCCAAATGTCGCTTCTAGTCCATTTAAAAGGCTCTGAATTAGTGCTTAGTATCATAATTGTATTTCGGGTGCACGTTTTTGCGGTTGAATCGTATAACGATAAAGTTTTTTACAATCTTTCTTTTGATAAATGGCGTCGGTTCTGATATCCTTGAATGTCTTTTCCCAAGAGCTCTGAGATGATTTCCTGTTTACTAATGCTATTTGAGGAGTTCAGGTTGCGGTAGATCTGACTGGTTGACCAACGATATAATGGTTAGTGAATTTACCTAACATTTCTTTTATTTCTGTTTTCTTCACATTTTTTTCTGCATTTATTCTTTTTCTTAACCGCCCAACATCCTAATTTGTTCACGTGACACTAATCATAATAAAGGGCAAACTATGCGATTCCCGGATGGGCGGAGTATCACCTACCACGTGCCTTCCCTTTCTCGCCTGTCCTCTTTACCGTATTGGAAGGGTTGGTGCGTTAGTTAGGGAAGATCCGCGGGTACGACTCCCCGCCCCTTTTTCCGCCCATCCGGTCATTGCGTAATGTGCCTTTAACCGTAAGTAGCAGCTGACTATCTTTTTTCTATTCAGAGCGGAAATTTGGTGATCTGTGAAATTCCGGAGGATCTCAAGAAGGAGCTTCGATCATTTCGTTTCTCAAAGAGTACTTCGTTGAATGTGCTTATTCGTAAGTTAGGGTCTGTTAGATTCCCTTTTTTCCAATTGCAGAACTAATAGGATATTCTTATTGCAGTGAAAGTCAACCGTGAGTCACAACAAATGATGTTGGAGGAAACGATGGAGGTATCTCACATGTTCAAATTGTAGCTTTGGGGCATTCAAAGGACCCCTTGTGCAGCTGCCTATAACTTCATCCAAATAGAAATACGGTCCTTCAGAATGGCTATCAAACTACGGAGCTCCTTTAAACCTAGAGGGATTCCTCGTCTCCATTGTGAGGAGTCTCATTTTTGCACAAAGAGTCCTTTAAACGCTCTAAAGTGAAACTGGGAATTTCAGACTTACCTGCTTTACTGATGAATAAAATTGATCGAATTCCATGTGAAAGGTTGCATCCAGTTGTAGAAAATAAAATCCTTTAGTATCAGGCTAGAGACTGCTATCGATTATAGCTGTCATTTCCGATAATCTCGCAACCTGACTGATGTGCCGAAAGTTAAAGACAAACTGTACTCCCCTTCCTTCATGGATCCTGGTACTGCTTTGAATGGGGAGTATGGGTCCACAGCCGTAGTAGTGTGCCACTTTCTCCGGTCAAAACTGCTCGGCAACGGGGCTGGAGGATAGTGATACCTCAGTGCCGACTCCATACTCTCAGTCGCGCACGGTCAGTCAGGCACCTAGCTATAGCCAATCGCGCTACTTGTCTGCGTTCTCTCCCTTCTGATTGTTCTCTACCTCCGAGTGGATGTTTCGCTGCGGCTCTTTGGTATCGATGCAAGTGCTGCATCTTGTGGATAGCGCGGGCGGATTATGGGGACGGCACTCGGGACCACTACCCTCCAGCCCCGTTCCCGTGCACTTTTGAGCTGAGAATATAGCACGCTGTGCAGCTGCGAACCCACTCGCTCCGCACACGGCAGGAACTGCCATCGGAAGTGACTGTACATTCCGTCTCAAAAGCGCTCTGAGCAGTTTTTTTTCTCCCTGATTTTCATTTTCACTTGTCTAACCCGAATGTTATGTCTCAGGATTGTTCTATCGACGATGTAAGAGAAGAGCTACCGCAACAACAGCCTCGTTTTCTTCTGATCAGTTACGCTCTAAATCATTCCGATGGGCGAACCTCGTATCCGATGTGCATGGTTTTCTACAGTCCTGATGGTTTGCAGATTTCGACATTTTTTAACTAAATTCTCGGCGCTAATTGCCTTGACAGGAAGGAGGGGTGCAAGATCTGTAAACTTTTTCAAGGAGTGTCTTTGTTTTTTTTTCAGTTATCTTCATAATCGTGTTGCTGACAGGTCTCACAGGTCTGGCCCTCACCCACCCCGAACCTTGGCTAATACTACATCAAGCATTCAAAGCAGAGGTAGATGACTGTAATACGGGAATCCGAAGCGCAGCATCGTCCACAAACCACCCAGTTTTCTAGCTGGTCTAGCTTTTTCTGGCCAACAAAAGCTTCCCCTTCCCATCAATCAATGTTAGCCTACGTCCCAAGCTGTCGACGGCTGACGCCATAGTTTCGGGTCAAGTTAATCAGCCAGTAATGCTGGACTGTGCGTCATTCCGCGCTTTGATAGGGGAAGGGGGTTCTGTGTTGGTGGGAGAATGCGGAAGAGTGAGCTCTATCGCGTCATGGCCCATCCCCCAACTGCTTAACCCCGCATTCGTCCTCCGAAGAAGTGATCGAGTAGGGTTAAAGCTTCACAGATTTCTTGAGGTAATTATGCTATTTTGTTGTCGTTGTCAAAAAACATGAACGGGACGTTGCTATAGAACTGAGTTACTGGAAAAAGGAGTTTCATGAAAAACGAGTAACGTTTCCGAATGGAAAAGGTATGGGGTAAGACAGACTACCCGAATAAACCTGTTCTTGCGAAAATGCAATATATTTAGTCCGATTCAGGTAGTAGGGGAACATATTTGTAGGAAAAGAAGGGATCCCATCGCGATTAAAAAGTCATAACACTTTTATAAAACTGATGTGCCCTTACATTCGGTATTCACCATTTGGTGGTGTCAGCGCGCACATTTTCGCGAAATGAACCGCAATATGTTTGGAATGAAGGACCGGGTAATTCTAAGGGAAGTGTGAAATTGGAGGGTGAGCTGCACATAAGCACATATAGTGAAATTGTGCAACACATCGGGTGTGTAGCGCAATTTCACTCTTGTTGAGTTGACGTTGCAAGCGGGGTGCATCCGCACCAGGACCCAACTCCCTCAACGAGGTAGCGCAGCTGCGCGCCGACTGTATCACTCAAGGCAACCTGTACTGCGACGCGACTGGGGAGTGACGCTTCTCATCACCGAAACGAGCCTTACTAACAATTTCAACCTCTATGTGAGGAAGGCTTGAAATTCGCCCAATCGTTACTCAGTTTCACAAAATTTTCCCGCTTTCTGCGGTGAGAACTACTTACGTTGCAGCAAGTTGTACGCAGATTCCGGACTGAGAACGCGTTCATTTACAGTCGTCATCATTACGGACTGTCGGGGCGGCACAGCCGCGCTGCAATGTGACGCTGCGGCTCGGTGACGGCGAATCAGCTGATTTCCATGGAATTCGGCTGCGAAATTCCCACTTT